AAGTTTTTGTGCTATTGAATCACATAATACATTGCTATTGTTTTCTTAGCAAACAGATAATTTGTTTTAGAGGAGTTAAAAAGAAAAATGCACATTTTACGTCTACCTTTATGATTGCTGTTTCCAGTAGTTTGTTTATTGTAGAGATCAGTTTCTGGTTTTCTGCTTAAAGAACTTCCTTTAATATGTTTTGTAGTAGAGGACTGCTAATAAATTCCTGTCTGCTTGTGGTTGTCTCAGAATTTTTTTTTTTTTTAAATTTAACATCTTGGTAAATTTTTTTCTTCTGTTTAATTTTTGAAAGATAATATAAATCTAAATTAGTAAACTTTTTTTGGGTCAGTGTTTTAAAAATGTTACTGCATTATTTTCTGCCTGGAATAGTTTCTGATTAGAGATGTGATGTAATTCTGGATGTTTTTTATGTAATATACTTTTCCCCTTCTGGCTTCAAGATTTTATGTGGGTACACGTTGTTGTTTGTTTTTGTATTTGTTTTATTTTGTATTAATGTTCTTTAACTTTTTTGCATTTGTAATTTGGTGTCTTTCATTATATTTGGCAAGTTCTAGACCTTAGGTTTTCAACTATTTCTTTTCTTCTCTTCATTTCTTTGGGATTTTTATTACATTTGTTTTATTCTTCTGCTATTGTCCCATAGCTTAGATGCTTTGTTTGTTGTGGATTCTATTTTCAGATTGGATAATACCAATCCCATTTCAGTTTCATTATTTTTCCCCATAAGTATTTCAAATTATCCTGTTACCCTTTCTTTTTAAATCTAGCATTTTTATTTATTTTACTATTATTTTGTTGGTACTGGGGATTGAACCCAGGGGCATTTAACCTTGAGCCACATCCCCATCCCTTTTTATTTTTTATTTTGAGACAGGGTCTAACTAAATTGCTGAGGCTGACTTTGAAATTGTCGTCCTCTAGCTTCAGCCTCTCAAGTCACTGGGATTATAGGCATGCACACTGTGCCTGGCTATTTTATTCTTTTTTTTTTTTTAATTTTTTAAATTTTTGTTTTTTAGTTGTTGATAGTCCTTTATTTATTTTACATAGTGCTGAGAATCGAACCCAGTGCCTCACACATGCCAAGCAAGTACGCTACCGCTGAGCCCCAACGCTAGCCCTATTTTATTCTTTTTTAAGGAAAGAATTTGTACTGATACACTTTCTACTGAAATGCTCCATTTGTTCATATTATTTGTCTTTTTCCACTAGATCTTTAGTATATTATTAATTGTTATTTTGTATCCCATGTCTTATAATTTTAATATCTTGATGCAATCTGAATTTGTTTTCTTATTACTGTTACAAGTCTTTGTTGAAAGCCAGACTTTATATGTAAGAATGTAAAAATCTGAATACTGAAGTATTATATAGTATTTGTGCCTAGAAGCAGATGTGTCTCTTCTTCTGCTAGGTCTTTATTACTTGGGATTCTTCAGATTTAGTCTATACTTGTACTTGGTTTGGATTTTGTTGTTGCTATGGTTACCCTCAGAGCAACATAATTTTCACATTTCTTGAGAACTCCCTTGTAGCTTTTGTTGGTGGGTGAGTTGTCATTAATTTTTTTTTAATGTCTGCCATGCATAACTGAGGTTTCCCCTGTGATCCTGTACCTTATGTTCATTTCTTTCCCAGTGATGGAGGAAGCTTGCTGTTGCTTGTCTCTTGGAGCCTGCTCAGTTCTTGGCACAGAGCAAGGGGCCCTTCTCTGTTGTACTGATTCAGACTGTCTCAGGCAGGCCTTTTGATTCTGGTCCCCAGGGGTAGGGTTCTCAGTTACCAGTACCACCCACAGTGGTGTAGTGGTCTTCTAGTTTGGGCCTAGAGTGGGATTTTGACCCTTTTGCAGGGGTAGAGGTTTTTGTCTGTGGTGATTATTTGCTTACTTTCCCCAACAGTAGTAGGGATTTACTTGTATTCTGAGGGCAACAGTTTTGCTGATCCTTTTCCAGTGGTTTAGTCCTTTCATTTCTTAAGGGATAAAGATTTAGTTGGGACTTCATCTCTGTCCTGCACTGTGGGTCTCTTCTTTCCCATGCCTGAATCTGGAGGGAGAATTTTTTCTTATTATCTATATTTTCCCAGTGAAAGACAGACTGGATACTCCTGAGTAGAAAAAAGCCTGCATTGCATGTGATGCACCTTGTGTTTAAGCCCCCCTGGGCTTTAATCTTCCTGGAAGCCCACCTTTGTTTGGCCTTTTGCAATTCATCAAAAAGTTTAACTAAAATCCTCTTACTCAGAGGCAGGGTAGTCCCAGTTTTTCTCCTGTACACTGTATTGTGTTCACTGGTGCTTATGACCCCACCCTACCCCAGGCACCTCTCTTGTCTTAGGTTTCAGGCTAGTTGGTGATTTTAGATCTAATGAAGTAAAAAACAATTGTGGAATAGCTGGGTCAAATGGTGGTTCCATTCCCAGCTTTCCAAGAAATCTCCATACTGCTTTCCAAATTGGCTGCACCAATTTGCAGTCCCACCAACAATGTGCAAGTGTACCCTTTTCCCCACATCCTCGCCAGCACTTGTTGTTGTTTGACTTTATAATGGCTGCCAATCTTACTGGAGTGAGATGGTATCTTAGGGTGGTTTTGATTTGCATTTCTCTGACTGCTAGAGATGGTGAGCATTTTTCCATGTACTTGTTGATTGATTGTGTGTCCTCCTCTGAGAAGTGTCTGTTCAGGTCCTTGGCCCATTTGTTGATTGGGTTATTTGTTATCTTATTGTCTAATTTTTTGAGTTCTTTATATACTCTGGATATTAGGGCTCTATCTGAAGTGTGAGGAGTAAAGATTTGTTCCCATGATGTAGGCTCCCTATTTACCTCTCTTATTGTTTCTTTTGCTGAGAAAAAACTTTTTTATTCCCTAAAGACCTAAAAAGAGCATGCTACAGGGACACTGCTACATCGATGTTCATAGCAGCACAATTCACAATAGCAAGACTGTGGAAGCAACCTAGATATTTGAAGGGAAATGGATGGCATTAGAGCAGATTATGCTAAGTGAAGCTAGCCAAGCCCTAAAAAACAAATGCCAAATGTCTTCTTTGATATAAGGAGAGTAACTAAGAACAGACTAGGGAAGAAGAGCACGAGAAGAAGACTTACATTAAACAAGGATGAGAAGTGGGAGGGAAAGGGAGAGAGAAGGGAAATTGCATGGAAATGGAAGGAGACTCACAGGGTTATACAAAATTACATACAAGAGGAAGTGAGGGGAAAGGGAAAAATAATACAAGGGGGAGGAATAAATTACAGTAGAGGGGGTAGAGAGTAAAGAGGGGAGGGGAGGGGGGATAGTAGAGGATAGGAAAGGCAGCAGAATACAACAGACTTGAGTATGTCAATATGTAAATCAATGGAAGTGTAACTGATGTGATTCTGCAATCTGTATATGGGGTAAAAATGGGAGTTCATAACCCACTTGAATCAAAGTGTGAAATATGATATATCAAGAACTATGTAATGTTTTGAACAACCAACAATAAAAAAAACCCAAAAAACAATTGTGGTTTTATAGATTATGAGCTTTTTCTTTCCATTAGGGTTAGAGTGACTCTGTTTCCAACTCTCTACATCCTAAAAAGAATCGGAACTCTCTGAAAGAGATGGAAGGAAGCTCCTAAATTGTAACTAATCCTAAGATCTTTTTGTTAAAACCTTAGAAGAGGCTATGCTGGATGTTCTCTGTCTTGAATTGATGAATTGGATAGAATGCATATGGTTCTTTTGCTTTCCTATATTACCTACCTTGACTTAGTAGCTTTAGAAAGGCGAGAAGTGCTAGCAGAGAAAGGTACTATTTACATTGCTTTTACCAGTCTTACTATATTAGGGAGGCAGAAAGTACATCTCAGTTCTTGGAAAACACTCAGCTGCTTGCTTTCTTAGATGATTCTCTTAAGGTTTGTGATTTTTTTTTTTTTTAAAGAAACTTTAGTAGGGATTATTTCAAGCCAATTTAGAAGTAAAGAGTATACTGGTTTCCCTCATATATCTACTGCACAATTTAAGCAATTATCAGACTACCCTCAAGTTCTTTTTCATCTACCATTTTCAATTCCCCCCACTGGTGGATTATTTGAAGCAAATTCCAGACATATATTATCTTTCATATGTAAATGAGCATAAGAGATTGTAGATTCTTATTCCTATCATATGTACCTTAGTTTTAATTTTTAATACATTGATTTTGGATGCAGAAGGATATCATTTACAAATTCTATACTCTTTACATTCAAATGTGTGACAGAGTGTATTCCAGATCTCTCTGATATGTATAATTAGTAATTATACCTAAAGGTAAAAGTTCTAGAAATAGAATTTTTTCCTCTGGTATTTGTAGACTTTTTCTCTCTTTGAAAAGTAACCTGTTGTACTACATTTAACGTATTGGAGTTTGAGCAGATAGCCCCTAAGAATTGAAAACCTACAAATAAATGAATCTTTGTATTCCACTGGGATTATTGTTTATACCTATGCATTCAAAGGAAAAAACAAAATTATTTGACTTTTCTTTTGGTTATACTTTGAACTGTGTTATACTAAAACTGTGTTTTAATTTCATGTTATATTTTTTTAACCTAGGTTGAAATGACATTAGGCTTAGAAAAATTGCAAGAATAGAACTGAGGTATAGCCGGGCATGGTGGCACATGCCTGCGTGCATGCCTGTAATTGCAGGGGCTTGGGAGGCTGAGGCAGGAGGATTGCAAGTTCAAAGCCAGCCTCAGGAAAATTGAGGTGCTAACTACTCAGTGAGACCCTGTCTCTAAATAAAATACACAGATAGGGGCGGGGGGGCTGGGGTTGTGGCTCAGTATTTCAGTGTCCCTGAATTTAACCTCTAGTGCCAAACAACAACAACAGAGATATATCCATCACCCAGCTTCCTCTAGTGTTAACAACTTTCATACCTATAACACATCAGTCAAAACCATGTGATTAACAATGATTATATGTTCTTATTTTAACAGCTGTTGAAATAGTCCAGGAACTTGAAAACATGGAAAAGACCAGGATGCGTCTTGAAGCAAGTAAACTCAGCGAAAGTGTAAGTTGATGGTCTATTTCAGTGTCTGGTTAGAAATAAGGGGAAGAGAAGTTTAATACCTATCAAAATTAAAGCCAGCCATTTTAAAATTATTTAGTAGGACATATACTAGACTACATTTAATATATAAGATTTACTTGCAGAACATTTTAGCATGGATTCAATTATGTTTAGTAGACTTTAACACAGAATGCAATCCAAAGTAGAATTTGTTCATGAGCTGGAGTTCTGAGGAAAAAGCCCATGCTTTTGCATAATGGAGCTTTGATATTGGCCCAATCACATTTGAACAATTATTTAATCTCTGTGGCCTTCAGGATCTTCATCTGTAAAACTAAGCGGCTGAACATGACTTCTAAGATCCTCTTTTAACTCTGAAATTATGCAATCCTGTGATTAATTATATCTATAGAGATGTTAAGTAATTACAAGAGTATAAGAATTAGGTGTTGTGCAAAGCTTTTGAGGGAGTCAAAAACATAAAAATTTTCACTATTGCCTTCTTTTAGCTTTGTGGCTTAACATTTGAGAAAAGGATATCAAAGAAGAAAACGGTCACTTTGTCCTGTGACTATGGAGGAGATGTTTGGGTCTCTCTCAAGTAGATTTTTCTAGACCCTTGGTAATGTCTTTGTAAGGAAGGCAATGATCTTAGGGAAGTAAGTTTATACCCAGGTAATAGAGAAAATGGGATTTCTATTGTAAAGGTAAAATTTCTAAGCTGCAAAAGCTTGAGTTAAAGTGTAAAAGACTAGGGCATTGTAAAGCTTCTAGATTACAAGGCCTGGGCTAAAAAGTAAAAGACAATTGTTACAATTGTAAAAGTCTATTGTTACAATTCTTCTGCTATCCCTGGAACCTGTAATCTCTGTAAAGTTGCTAGGACAATGCGGGAACTGCCTAGTAAATATCTCCATTGATTCCCTGGTTGTTTAATAGCTAAGGGCTCTAGGTAGCGTGGCACGTAAGCATCTAGGCTCCAAAACCAATCAGTTTAAATGTGTACCCCACTTAGAAGTGACCAATCACCCCTGCCCAGATTGTTCCCGCCAATGTATGTATCCTGATTCAGAGTTGTTGTTCAATTTTCCCGCGCCTCATGATGATTTGTTCTGATGTATGCAAAGCCCCCCACCCTCTCCAAAAAGTGTACTTAAGCTTCGCTTGACCCCTGCTCTAGGCTCTGAGCCGCTCTCCCTTCTTGAGTGGGCACAGAGTCCCAGCGCGCTGGAACGGATCCCCAATAAATGTCCCTCTGCATTTGCATGAAGTAGGTCTCTTGTGTGGTCTCTCCCTCCGACGCTCTGCTGCACCCCAACACTATGCTCTTTATTATTATTACCTTTGTGCTAATTGTAAATGGAGACTGTGATGAATTATGTAGGTAAGTTTCTGAGATTTTAAAAGTAGAATAAGAAATTTCACACACTGTCTTGTGTTAATTTCATTTTCTCTACATATGATTTTTCTAATATAATCTGGAGAATTTAGGTTAGAAAGGAAAGAAATCAGATAAGAAGGTGTGTCTTATTAATGATCAGCTAAATGTCTCCAATCTTCTAGTTTCTAATATTACCTGTTGCATTAATGAGAGTGGAAAATGAGATGTTGAAAATAGGAAATTTATTGGATTGTTTTGTTAATACTTTCTTTATTGTAATGGGATCAGTGTTGCATTTGCTACTGATGAGAAAAAAGTAATGAGTACAACGAATACTATTTATGATCATCAAAGGAAACACATAAGAATTGTTCTTAATCTATGTAAAATAGAGATAAGAGATTATTTTCCTTTAAATACATTGGAGAATTTAAAGTTTGTAGTATTTCCATTTTTGTCATTTTGGAGGAAATTTTAAAGATTTTTCTGATTATTTTAGGTAATGGTTTTTACGAAGGACCAAACAGAAAAGGAAATAGATGAAATTCACAGTAAATATCGTAAGTTGTACAAGTTTTCTTTATTTGCAAAGAACTTGGGTTGATTGTTTTTATCTTAAGTAAATTTTAAAAACTGTTTTATGTTAATGTTCAATACAACTTTTGTTAATATTACTTCAGAGACTGAATTTTAGTTGTTTACTCAGTGACCTTCTTTTGTACTCAATGAACCTGCTTTTTGATTTGTGACACTAGCTTTGAGTTAATCACTAGACACTTTGCAAATACTAATTAGTTCTCTAAAAACATCTCTTTGAGAAGATGAGACTAGCTTGAGAACATTCCTGACTCTCTCCTGTCCTCAGGCCTTTAATAAAAATTCTTCTGTAAGAAATTTCAACACTTCTATAGCTTGCAAATTGTGCCAAAAATAGTTTTCATTTTATTCTTTTTTTTTTTTTAATATTTATTTTTTAGTTTTCGGCGGACACAATATCTTTGTTTGTATGTGGTGCTGAGGATCGAACCCGGGCCGCACACAAGCCAGGCGAGCGCGGAGCGAGCTACCGCTTGAGCCACATCCCCAACCCATCATTTTATTCTTAACACCTCCGAACTTTATCACTTTCTTTTCCTTAAATGGTCTTTTTATATATCTTTCCCAGGCTAACACCATTCTGTTTTTCTCAATTGAATATTCTTTGCTCCCTTAGTTGTTTTCTTTCAATAGTTAAACCAGGGAACCTACCTAGAATCAGGTGAGCAGGATTTGGTCTCTCAAACTGCACAAGAAGGAAGCAATCTCCTCAGATAGCTCCAACTATGTGCATGTATGAATATAACATTTTGAATTCCACTATTATGTATAATTATAATGTACCAATAAAAAAATAAGCAAATGTTAAATTGTAAATGAATAAATATAAAAAAGAAAAGTGATACAGTCTGATCAAACTGGGGAGAAGCAGCTAGATTGTTTCTCCACTGGTCCTACAGAAACTGTTAAAAGTGGTAGAAACAAAAACCAGGTTTACACATGTAGATTTAGCTAGCCTTACAGTTTAATCATATATTTTAATTTGGTGTCAGTCTCCAAGTATGTTATTGATATATCTTCTTCTTGTAAACATTTCATTAATGTTTTATATGCATGTAGTTTTTAAAAATCAGATATATCTATGAGGCCTAAACCATCAATTTCATCTCTCTTCCAGCAACAACCTGCCTCCTATCCCATAAGGTGACAGCTATTATGCCTTTGGTTAAAAAAAAATATGTATATATGTCACACATGCATATATATATGAAAAAGATTACAGTGTAACAACTACTTATAGCATTGACATTGTATTGGGTATTAAAAGTAATCTGAAGATGATTTAAAGTATACAGGAGGTCAGGTATGGTGGTACATGCCTGCAATCCTTGCAACTTGGGAGGCTGAAGTAGAAAGATAACAAGTCTGAGACTAGCCTGGGCAACCTAATGAAAACCTGTCTCTAAATAAAAAAATAAAAAGGTTTGAGAATGTAGCTCAGTTACAGAACACCCATATGGGTTCAATATCCAGAACTGGTGAAGGGGTGATAACTCTATTTCTTGAAGTTTTTCAGTGTTTTTTTTTTTTATGATTGACATGTTAATAATATGAAAAAATGAAGATTTAGCTCTTTCATATATTCTGACCCCTCCATTTGCCTCCCTCTTATCCTTTGAATATTGTTATGTAATAATGTTTTATTAGATCATTATTTAGGTTAGATACATTATTTACAACTTATACATTATACACACACACACACACACACACACACACACACACACACACATATACATAGTATGGATGTAATCCTTTTTGGAAAACATTTAGTTTTCTATTTGTCTACTATGGGTATATTTCTGAACATTCCTCCTGAAGTATAAATTACTTTAATACATTTAAACACATACATTGTCAACTTAATTATTTGGCAGTGTTTTCCCCCAGAACTTTCTCTAACCTCTATTATACTTTTCAAGCCTCCTTTGGTTGCTTGTTTGGTCTCTCACATGGAATCTTCTGGAGATTCTGCTCTCTTCCCTCCTCTGTTTTTAGTATCCAAATCTGCCTTTTCTCTCCCTTTTTTTTTTTTTTTTGGTTTGGTGAAATACATTTTCCTGGAAAGTTCTTAAGAAAGGGTATATGGAGGAATACTTTTTGAGATCTTACATAACAGTGAGTAATACCTTTATTATTGACTAATAATTTAGCTAGTTGTAGAATTTGAGGTTGGAAAGATTTTTTTTCTGTCTGAATTAGAAGGTATTCCTCCATTGCCTCCTGCATTCCCACTTGCTCTCAATAACTAGCTTGTCATTCTGATTTTTTATTCTTCATATTGACCTTTTTTTTTTCCTTTCCTTACTCTCTGTTCATCATCAAGTTCTGTCAGTCTCTTATTTTCTAAATAGTTCTTGATTCTGTGCACTTATTCTTCCCTCTAAATGACTCCTTGGGTTTAATCCCCCGGCACCAAAACAAACTACCTTCTGAAATTACTTGGTTTTTGATTGTGACATTGATGCTCTTCTGCCATTATCAAAAACTTTGCAGTGTCTTTCTATTACTCTTCAGATAAGACTCAATAAAATCTGTTATTACCTGAGTCTGGATTGCCTACCTCATTTGCCTCATTCTTCTTCTCCCCTACCTCTTTTATCAAGTTATTTGCTGCTGCAGCAGGACCTTTGTTATGCTTTTCTCACTTTGTCTTGAGTTGTCTCCTCTTAATCGTATTTGTGGCCCTATCTACACTCCCACCTCATTATTAGATTAATTGTAGTTTTCATGGGAAACCCTCCTGACTTTCCAGCCAAGGTAAGGTTTCCTTTACAGCCGTGTGCTGCATAAAGATGTTTCTTTCAATTGCAGACTACATTTGTGACAGTGGTCCCATAAGTTTATAATGGAGCTGAAAAATTCCTATTGCCTAGTGGCATTCTACTCACTGTTGTGTTACTGTTTCCTACAGTATTCAGTGCAGTTACATGCTATATAGGACTGTAGTATAGGGGGCAATAAGCCCAGGTGTGTAACAGACTAGAGCATTTAGGTTTGTGCTCTATGATGTATGCACAGTGATGGCGTTTCTTAGGCTATATCCCTGTCCTTAAGAGATGCCTGTCTCGCCTTATCATTCTTTACTATTCATTCAGTACAAGCTTTCCTAGTACTTATTATATGCTAGATATGTGCTAGCTGCTGGTGATATATGAATGAACAATATAGACAAAAACTCTTGCAGTGTATATTCTATTGTTTTAGAAAGTGATAAGTGAAAAATTAAAGCAAGAATGTGTAAGAAATTTTAAACTTTTGACAAGATAGCACAGTTATTGTCAGTTAATATTATTATTTCTAAATTTAATTATGTTTATATTCTAATTGTGTCATAAGGCTGCTTCAAAGGTACCACGGAGTGGCTTAAATAACAGAAATTTATTGTCTCACAAAACTGGAGTCTAAAAGTTCAAAACAAGGTGTCAGCAGGGTTGGTTCCTTTGAGGACCATGATAGAAGGGCCTATCTTAGGCCTCTCTCCTTGGCTTGTTGATGATTGCTTCTCCCTATTTCTGTTCCCATCATCTATTTTCTAGGTATTCCTCTGTGTCCAAATGTCCTTTTAATAAACATAATCAGTCTTATTGGATTAGGGCTCTCATCCTAATGGCCTCATGTTAACTTGATTACTTCTGTAAATACCCTATTTCCAAATGAGGCCTCATCCTAAAGTATTGGGCTTAAGACTTCAACATATGAACTACAGTTTTATAATGTACAGAGGAAATGTTTTTATCTTATTCACCATTTGACAGAACAGTGTCTACAATCAGTATCTTTTCTGTACTCAGCACTTGCAAGTGCTCTACCACTGAGCCACATCCCAGCACAGTATGTTTTTGACCAAGTGAATGAATAGATGAGAATAGGAAGGCACCATGGTTTTTAATCACAATCTATCAAGCCTATAGAAAGTAAAGTAAGAGAATCTAAACATTTTCTACATCTGTCACTATTCTAACTTTTCTTTCTTTTTGAGAAGAAATGGAGAAACTTTGATCTATCTTCCAGGCTAAGATATTAGCCATGCTTCAGTGGTCTCATCTGTTCTACTTATGTGCACTTCTATTCATTTCTTCTACTCATTTTTTTTTTTTAATATATCTCTGCCATAGTACTGGGGATTGAACCCAGGGTCACTCAACCACTGAGACACATTCCCAGCCCTTTTTAAATTTTGAGACGGGGGTCTCACTAAGTTGCTTTGGGCTTCACTAAATTGCTGAGATTGGCTTTTAACTTGTGATCCTCCTGCTTGAGCCTCCTGAGCCACTGGGATTACAGGAGTGCACCACTGCACCTGGCTTTACTTTGTTACTCTTTTAAAGAATATAAAGGAAGGCAGAAAAGCATAATTGTTGAATGTGTATAATTTCTGTGCCGAGAGTTTTGCTTGTTATTTTAATAATCTTCCCTGAAACTCTATGCAGCACATATTGACCTATTTAAGAAGAAGAACTGGAACTTGGAAACATTAGACAAATTGTCCATATATCTAGTAAAAAGCAGAACTAGAAATAAAACTCATATTTAGTGGATGCTCAAGTCAAAGTCCTCTGCAGCATCGTTATTGTATTTGAATCTTAGTGAGATTCACATCTTAAGAAGGGTAAGCAAAAGCATCTGTGAGTGACTGGTATGTTAGGAATCTTTTTTTCTTTTTCCCTAGGGCCATCTTTAGTTTCAGATTATAGTGTTTAAAAGCAGCTTAATTTTATGAATGGGCTACTGTGGCATTTTAATGATAATTATATCTATTCTCTCTCTCTCTCTCTCTCTTTCTATACACACACACACACACAATTTTTTTTTTTAGTGGTAGATAGACACAATACCTTTATTTTATTTTATTTTATTTATTTTTTATGTGGTGCTGAGGATTGAGCCCAGTGCCTCACACATGTTGGTAAGAGCTCTACCACTGAGCCACAACTCCAGCCCCTCTAGCAATATTTTAAAT